CTCTCATTTATTTACCTAATTTTCCTCAATATTTTGGTTAAGATTGAGTTAACAAGGTTGCTACCTTTTCTCGGCACTCTAAAGCTTTTAAATTTTAGATAAGTGACTGAAATTTTTTTATCTACCTTCCGTGGACTAGTTCACTGTTAGCGTTTCATTAATAAGAGTCTACACTAATCTACTGAAGGCTGCAACTGATTATTGACTTTTAATCTATAATTAATTTGGCTACATCTCTCGCGGTTATCCCTCAATTCAGTGATTCCCAAACTGCGCCGCGGCTTCTTTAAACGGGCGCGGCGAAATATTGTAAAAGCTTCAATTTGAGAAAATATGCACTGATTGGCAGGCTCATCCATCACATTAATTATTAAATATTAATTTAATGTTAATAAAGTAAAAAAAATAATGAAGAAACGAGTGTCATTTATTTTTATATCTTACTTACGAATTGTCATACTTATGGTAGGGCACCATGAAAAAAATTTAATTTAAAAAGTGCGCCGCGACTAGGAAAAGTTTGGGAACCACTGCCTCAATTCATGCCAATCTAGTCACCGCATCGAACCTCTCCGTCGAACCATTCAGAACGTGGAATTAAAAGTACACATGAGCATTTTAAGTCAAAAACTCCCTAGACTGGGACTACTTGCTGCGTCGCTCCCATGGCTCTGTGGTTACCCTCTTTAATCCTATGTGATCCTCTGTGTCTCTATTTGACCCCTCTTGCACCAACACCACACTTCACCATATTATGTGTTCTTCCCACATTAAAATCCTCACCTGTTACTAATTATATTCAAGGCACTTCGTGACTCATTTTCCTGTTCCTCTATACAACTCTGTGGTTTCCTATACGGTGGTTATAAGCCCAACAAATGTTTATAGTGGATATTTTAGAACCACCAAACGGTAAAAAAATCAAATGGATACTTGAAAAATTTTTATATATATTTTGTTGAGGCATTACAAAAGTGCTTCCTCAACTTCCTTTTAATGCATGCGGTTATTTTACCGTGCTTAGCCTGTATATTACCACTTTATTTCATCTACTTTGCCTTCTGTTCTCAATTATAACTATTTCGCCTAGATTATATGCCTCTTAGTCTTTAATATATTCAGAGGAAGTACATGAAATTACTCTTATTGGTGGGCTCAAATTCATTTACGGAGAGGTTAAGATGTGTCGAGCTGTCAACGTCCCTGATATCTACTCTCTGAGGTATTAAGTATCGCTCCTGACAATTTGAAATTTTTGCATTAATTTGACGAAATATTTTAGCCTTTTTTATGTGTCTTCACTTCCCAATCTTAATTTAAAATTTAAGCAAACAATATTCCATGACCATAATCTCAACCGTAATGATGCCTTTATACTTGAAAGTGGTTGGGGGCTACTAGTACTTGATTAGGCCAACTCTTTGTTTTCTCCAGTTTTCCTTATTTTTGCTAGTAATTGGCTTTTACTGACTCCGATATGCATATTCTATTGATTCATTAAAATTTTCTTCATTGAGGTACATTACAAGGCTCTTTCTCCACAGGCTTTATACTGCAGTCAAGTAAAGTATTAACAAATTACAAGTCTATTTTTAAGGGTGATCTTGTATAGTAGGATCAACTAACCATAGGCATACAGAAAAAAATTCTTACCTTCTAAAATTGGTATCTAGCACTGCATTTAGGCTCTTTAGTCACCTTGGGCCGTCTAATCATGATTATACTCATAGTTAGACATCAGGTGATGTTATTAAGGCCTCTAGTTCCTGAATACGATTTCACCGAGCTTTAATCGATTAGGTTAACTGTCCCTGCTTCATTTCTAACCACGTAGCTCTTCACTATGTAATTGTGTCTTTTTTATTTTTTTTATTTGCACAATCAGCATAAACGACTGCTACAGTGCTCACTACTCAAAAGAGAAAGTCGTTATACACTCTTTATCGAACCTTGACTTTTTTTAATAATAATAACAGGGTTGTAGCTAAATTGCATCGAAATATTTTGTCTCTTTTATTCGCCATTTTTTTCTTCTTTACCTGCTTCTATTACATTAATAGGTGGCGAACATTGTGATCATAGAACTTGTAGCCGGCACATCAACCTGCTTCCATTCACACATTTTTCGACAATACCTTCTATAATGACAGAATCTACTCCTTCCAGACTTTCTATTCACTCACCGGATCCATCAAAATCCGCCCACTTTTTTGCACCGCCTGGCACTTCAAGTTCAACTGATATAACACAAACAACAGCAAAGTCAACAACCAAAAAAATTCAGATGTCAACGATCAGGGTACAAGATCTTGAATTTATACCTTCTTTAACTTCATCAAAGGTGGAAACAATGAGAATAATAAAAGCGAAACCACCATCTCCAGGCGAAAATAAATTTAGATTAATTGATGCTTCGAGCCAGCCCTCGTTTCAAAGAGAGGACGCACTGGCCGAGAGTAATTGCCTCAATCATTCTAACTTGTTGCAGGAGTCTGAAGAAGGGAAGAATGTAAGAACAAATGAGGCAGACAAGGTTAAGCTATCGGCTGACGAAACTTTTAGAGAGCTTTCCAACACCAGTGAGACTATGAATTCTTACATAATGACTCCTGTAACGCGAAGCATGAGCATCGGAACTAGCCTGATTAGCTCTTCTCCAAAAAACCAGTTTTCCCTTATCTCTGACTGTACTATCACTAACAGATCAGACTCTTCGCTTGACTTAAATCTCAAACATGCAAGTACTAGTTACAAAATTAAGGATATTCTTGACTATGATGACAATGTTTCTACCAGGAGTAGTAATATTGATGATGATTATAGAACAGCCCGAGATCATAGCTCTGGTATTAATAGTAATAAAAATTATGGTAACACTTCTCTGTCTTTTGATGTGAGAGAAGATGAGGAAGATACTACCACTTTGATTTGTAAAGCGCCTTGTATTCCAACTAGCCTAATTCCGGAAGAAGAATGTCATCAATGCAACTTAATAAGCTTGGCTGATCATCGACATAATAGGCCGGAGGCACGTTCTGAACCGTCGCCAGTCAATGCTTCCAATGATTACTCAACTGACGCAAGCAGCCTATCTCTCTTGTATGGACGAGGTAACTCCGAGATGAAGTCATCAAAGAGATGGAAGCGAAAAGAGGAACTTGGGTTTTGGCACCCAACTCCAACAGAAACTTGTTTGGAAGGTTCTGAGTTGGGGACGTCTAATGTAGAAGCCTCGTGTAGAATGGATGAATCGGTGGGACAGATGGGTGATATGATTCTGCCTGATTTAACGCCTCATCCTCCAAATGCTCCTGGTGTTAAGTGTCATTCTTCGTTCCACTCCGCCTCCCCTCCTCTTCTCACTTCCTCCTCTTCCTCTGCCTCTCTATCTTCGTCTCTCTCTTCCTCACCTACTTCTTTGCCATTAGTTTCATCCGGGTACCCCTTGCCACTACAATTAACCCAAGAGAGCATGCTCTTGGAGGAAGGGCAGCTAGACACTTTACATCCTCAATTGGAAGAAGAGAGACTTGACGAAGTTGAGAGTAGACTTTGTCGTCATATTAGGAGGGAAGATGAGCACGAAATGGAAGAGGTCGATCAAATGGGAGAAGACAGGGAGACAGAGGATTCAACCTCTGAAGTGGTAGAATCTCAGCAGCCACATTGTTGCCCTCATAATTTCCATGCTTCAGCCTTTTCTCCACAGTTATGTACAACCCTCTCCCCCATTCCTCAATCTCCGGCACCGACTTCGACTAATCGCCTTGACCTTGTACACCATCGCTGTCCGAGCCAACATATTTCGGCTGGCTCAATATCAAGCCCTGTTCATACTGATAGAGCATCACTGGTGTCTGAGAGAGAGATGGAACAGTTAACCGACCTAAATTCGGCTATACCTTGGAGAGAGTCCACAAGAGAAAGAGGTGCAAATGGAGTTGGAATCAATTCGAATGCTGCTAGGAGCAGGTGTGTGGTTAGAGAAAATTGTATTTTTGGTCTTGATAG